AATATAATTTTTAATCACAAATCATTAAAATTTAAAATATAGTTTAAATTATCTTCTTAATCATCTAGACATGTCTAATCATTGCTAATTATTGTTAGCTATAACCAATAGTTATAGATTAGATAATTTGTAAAATGAACTAACCTTAATATCAAACTATATAGTTTTAATTATTGCTGAAATTTAAGTTAAATAATTCATTTTTAATAAAGATACTAACATATAGGTTAGGCTATTTTAATCAGTCCAGTGGAATAACTTGAAAAATACTTATCTTACAATAAAAACATTAATAATAAATGTTAGACTTCAAGGGATCACAAAATGTGCTATCAGTTTCATCATAGATTGCTTGATTGGTGAAAATGGGGTCATCTTCATTTTCTTAAATGGGAACCCTCATGTTTTATTGCATATTCTGATTCTACATAAAAAATAAATAGAATTTTTATCTAAAACATTTTTTTGAAAGATGCACTAATCATAAGTTATGGACATTTGAATTTTACATGGCCACCATATCATGCATATATGAATCTGTGGATGTCTGTGAATTTCACTGAAAAAGAAAGAAAAATGCTTAAAAACTTTTTATAATAAGTTCTAGCTTACTGTGCTTAGAACTTAAAAAGTCGTTAGGAAGCAATTATTACTTGATTGAATTATTATTTTTGTTGAAATAATGAACTGATACAAAACTAGTGCCACAGCAATCAAGCTTGTGATAAAGAGAGGACATTGATCTTAATTTCAACAAATAACAGTTTTGTAAACTTTCTAGCATTTTTTTTCCAGTGAAATTCACAGACATCAACAGATTCACGTATGCACAATCTTGCAGTTGGATTAATCTTCAAGCACTCACAACTTCTGATTAGTATAACTTTGAAAAAATGTTTTAGATAAAAATTTGTTTATTTTTTATGTAGAATCAGAATATGCAATAAAACATGAGGGTTTCCATTTAAGAAAATGAAGATGAGCAGTAGTTGTAAGAAGTAGCTGATCATTGATTTCATTATCTTCTAGCAAAAAGAATGAATATCATAGAAACATTATACATTATTTACATTATGAGACATTCTATCAAAAAGCTTTTGATAGAATGTCTCATAGTTAGAGTTGCCAAATTCTGAGGTGTTGATTTTAGTAGATGACCATTCCATAAGTAGAAAATTCTGAGAGATAATCTTAAAAGCAAAATTACCACATAAGATAACTGTGGAACATATATTTCTTATTACCGAAAAACCACAAATCAACAATTTAATCTTCATTGAACAACAAAAACACTAACTAAACCTATAAATACCTTGAAATTCATGTTAAATCTTGAATGATTTAACATGAATTTCCTAACAGAATTGTAGATATTTGAGAACATGGTAATCTAAGAAACTCAAATATATTTTTGAACTATGTTTAGATGAACATGGTGCATTAATTTGATTTTCTTAGAATGACTGCTGACATTGAAAACTTCAGCAGAACATATAATAGAAAAAAACTAATGATGATTTTTTCATACCCATTTTTATTGTGGGTCTATAAAAATTGTTTTACCCTCTCATATTCAGTTTTTTGTATCAGTTTTGCTTGTACTTTGGCTTCTTTCATTTACTTTAAATAAACAAAAGTTTGTCTTTGACACTGGTCCAAATATGATGCCTTTAAATTGTACTACAAAAGGAGTTGTATGCAAAGTTTCAGCTCTACAATTGATAGAGTATATAGATTTTAGGTAACAGATATACAGAACATCACACATTTTCATTTTTTTAAGAAACAAAGTTTTATTACTTTTTGTTCTCTTAATGTTCACTTCTTTAAATAAAATCTTGATCTGCTACTTGAGATGAGATGATGCAAAAAATTAAGCTTATTGAGCTCCATTCATCAAATTACATTGAGGAGTATTTGGAGGAAACATATTTTCATATGTATGACAGAGTGACTTATATACATATAAAAGTGTTTAATAAGAAAATGCATTTGTATCTATGAACATTTAATTACTTAAAAATATCAAGCAAAACAATTTACAACACACACACACACACACACACAAAATAATCCACTTTTGATATATGTTCCATATAGTTATCATGAATATTACAAAACAGAATGGATACAGAATATGGCATATGGAAGGGTTTCTGAACAATTTTTTATCATTTTGATAAAAGATTGTTCTGAGGATCATTCAGAAACTCTTCTGTATTCTTTCCATAGTATTGTGGTTTTCAAGAACATCAACATAAACTAATTTCCAATTTAATAATATTTCATAAGACAGTCATCTTTTGAGTAAGTTGGTGAAGTAGATCTCAAACCAGAAGTTGGAAGAATTTCAACATTTTTGTCAATTTTCAGGAGGCTCCCAGCTATATATCTCAGATGGCAGGGAGCCTCCTGGAAATTGATCAAATTATTTGTACAAATTTGTTTATAAATGACCTCAAAGGTCATTTATATACACAGAAATAGACAGACAAAGACAGACACAGAATTTTATCAACTTATCCAAGTAAGTGAGTGGTTCTCCAAAGATATCAATAGGAAATTTTAACTTGAAAAATGAAATAACTACTTCACATTCAAAAAGAAAATATAAAAGCTGGAAGAAATTATTTAGAAACTACAAAATTAATGCATGCCATAGATGAAGATTGGTATAAATATATAGGAATTGAATAAGTAGGAACTATAAACCTTGTAATGATGAAAACTGCAATAGGGAAAAACATTCCTCTGTAGGTAAAAACTTATTCAAAACCTATTTTGATGTATTGTACAAAACAGTTTTACATCCATCAATATTTACATAATTCCAGTTTTAACTTATTCTTAAATATTATGAAGTAGATTAACACAAAACTGGTAGACAAATAGAAAGATAAGAATACATCTAATATAATAATAATATCATTGCCTAATATAAAGAGTATACATCGCCTAAGTAATAAAGACTATTTCTATATAAGGATGGGTAGCAGTACAGTACATCAACATCAAAATTTTTTCTACATGCAACAAGTAACAACAATACTACACAAAGGAATTGTGAAGATTGGAATCAAGTTGTCCCTATACTATATAGATTGCAATAAAACAAGAAAATTGACAGTGTCATTGATAGAACAAAAATATGGCAATTGTAGATGTGAAAACCTTTATATGATTAATTAATTAATCTCCATGATCTCAATCATTCTTTTGTTGACAAGCTGATGTTAAACATTTGGTTAGTCAGATGTCTTTACTTAACATAGATAAGTTTTCCTCAGCAAATGAGGTGTTGGTGAATTTTCTATTTTTGTGCTGAGAGTGATTTCTGATATAGATATATAGTTTAATTATAATAGTTGTGAAATTTAACACACTACTGCTAATGTGATATTGTATTCTTTGTTTAGGAGCTTATTTTAAAACTTTACTTCACATTTTGTTTGCATAAAATCAAATCAAAATGTCTACAGATAATATTAACATCAGGCGTATTATGTATATTTTTTAAGTTTCATAAAGGATATAACACTATACAAACAGCAAAAAGTTCTTGTAGTATATGAGGAAAATGTTCCTAAATGTTGGACATGTCAAATGTGGTTTTGGAAGTTTTATTTAGGAAATTTTGAACTAAAAGATACAAAATGTATAGGGTGCACAAAAACTGTTGAAGAGAAATTTCAGGTTGAAATTGTTAAAAATCAATGAATAACAACTTGTGAACTTGCAACAAATCTTAGTGTGTCACCGACATAATAATTGTTTCATATGCAATAAGTAAAAAAAAAAAAAAACTGGATTGAGTATAATTTTGTCTGACATAGGTAGATGGCTAAGGTTTCATTTTATTTTTAAATTAGTTAGACATTTTTATCATAGAAAACTTTTCTTATGGATGACAAAGTTAAAATTAAAATATTTGTTATTAAAAATTTGTTCTAGTGAGTGGTGATTGTTCTGTTGAGCACTGGGGTACCAGTGTATTTGATTAACATGATTTTGATATATGGGTAGTATTGAGAGTTTAATTAATTGCATTAATTAAGGGATACCTGAAGTTAACACTAACAATTTAGAATTAGTGTGGCATGAAAGTATACATAAATACACAAACTATGTATGGAAAGTAACAGAAATGGCATATGCAACAAGTTAACATGATACTGCTAATTGTTTCTAGCACAGGAGTAATAACACACAAACTTTGATAGTCTAATGACACTAAATCTACCTCTATGCTTCTACATGACTTTACATGAAGAAGTAATGATGAAAACTTTCCAATTTACTCAAAAGTTTCTTAATATTCAGTAATACATAAGAAAAATTTACTATTTGTTATAAAGTGTTGTTATTAGCAATAATTGGTTTTCATTATGTTGTAAATAAAATAAATTTTAAACTAAATATATTATCTTCATTACAGCTAGCAGCTGATCCTGATCAAAATGTAAAAAATGGATGTGAATTGCTTGATAGATTATTAAAGGTATGTTGTATATTTGCTAATTATATTTTTATAAACATAATTTAGAATTTAATATATGAGTAAAATGAGATTAGATTCTATTCTCACTTCCTCAGCTGTTTACTTACAAATATAATCAAACACCAAACACTTGCTGAGCTTATTATTAATTTACCATTCAAATGCTTTCAGCCTACTTCTAATAGGCCATCCTCAAGAAATTACTGTTCTACTATCGAATACAAAGCTTTCGAACAATTTTTAAATTTAAAATTTTAACATATTTTTAAAATTCAAAACATAAAATACTAAATATTTAACCAAAAAATAACATATTATATACAATGTAAAAATAAACCTATATAACGTATAATATACATTACACGAGTTAAAATCGCCACCAGTTTAAGGGTTTTTAATTCCCATTTGTTTTTCTATCACGTATTTCCATGCTGTTGGAAGAGCATTGGCGTCCTTGGCGTTTAAGCAGTTGTTATTTATTTTGCTCTTATATATCTCCATTTTTTCCATACCAAAGGCAATAGTTGGGGAATGGACCGGTTTAATTATCTTTGCCTCATCCCACTTTACACTTGCTCCATCCGTTTGTACCATAATTGCCAAGATGGTGTTGTTGTGCC